GTTCTGAGTCACACAGTGAGGTGCTCGAAAGCCCCCAGGCTCTGTCTCATCTTTTTAGCAGCTCTGGTGTATGGGATACTGAAAGAGACCCTTCTTCAAAGGAGAGGTAAAAAAGATTTAGTATTTATTGAAGAAAGGCCTTTCTAGATTGTAACTCTGACATGCAGTCCTAATAAAATCTTTAAATAAAAATAAATAATAAAATAGTTACTAGTCTTCAGTAGATGATTCTGGCTCTTGAGCATAATCTGAAGGGTTTGCTAATCCTCATTTAGCAATGGAAAAAAAAAAGTAAGTTTATAGTGCATCAAACTAACAGTTTGAGAATTTTTATATCCAGAAATCATTGCACTATTATCTTTTCGGTGAGTAACTGAATTTTGTCATGATTAAGCAATAAATTAACTGTAACCTCAGCACTGTGGGATGCTAGGGCTGGAGGACCATAAATTTGAGCTCAGAGTTATGAGACTCTGTCTCAAAAAAGGGGAGGAACGGATGGAGATAATAGTTTAGGGGGAAGGCCCTGGGGCTTAATCGCAAGTACCACAAAACAAAACAAAACAATAATTAAATGACTTTTAGACAATAATTTGTTGTTCAGTGATTTTTTTTTTTTTTTTGTACCGGGATTGAACTCAGGACCTTGTGTTTGGGAGGCAGGGGGTGGAACCAGTGAGCTAAATCCTCGGCCCTTGAATTTGTTATTTAATGAAATTTAGTTTGTTATAAATGCAGAAGTTGCTGGGCATGCCTGTAATGCCAGCACTGGCTGAGCTGAGGCAGGAGGATAGCTGTAAATTTGAGGCCATCCTGGGCTACATAGTGAGATTGTTTAAAAACAACAACAACAACAAAACTAAAAACGAGTTTAATCCCTCCCTTTAGAGATTGAATCCAGGGCCTACACAGCACTGTGCCACTGAGTTACATCCTTAGCTCTTTTAAAAAAATTTGAGATGAGATCTCACTGAATTGCTCATGCTGGCTTCAAACTTGAGATCTTCCTACCTCAGCCTCCAAGTAGCTAGGCCTAATTACAGATAGGTGCCTCATTTCCTGTTTGCACTAGTCTTTAAAAAAATTATTTTATTTATTTTTAAAAATTTTACTTTATCCCATTTCCTCTCCTTCTATGTACAGAAGCTTTGCTTCCATTTTTTTCCTTCTATTTTCACTTTTTTTCTTGTCCCCTCCTTTTTCTTGTCCTCCCTTGTTTCCTTTTCCATTTGAACACTTTTTTCCCATTTCCCCATATCTATTTTACATTTTAGTCCTTATTTATACTTTTGAAGCAATGCAGTATTTAAACATGTGTGTCTTATTTATTTCAGTTAAGAGTATTGCATCAGGTCTACCCATAAAGCTATAAAGCTCATCTTTCTTTATAGCAGAGTAGTATAGTATATTAAAAAAACTTTTTTTTTTCTTTTCTAGTATGGGGAATCAAACTCAGGACCTTGCACTTGCCAGGCAGGTGTGGCTCCACTGCACTAAATCCCTGGCTTGAAACAACATCTTTATCCATTTGTTAGTTGATGGGCATTTGGGCTGTTTGCACAATTTAGCTATTACGAACCATGCTGCTGTGGACATGAGTGTGTATGTATCACTGTGGTATGATGCCTTTAATTCTTTTGGGAAGATACCAAGAAGGGGAATATAAATAGCTGGTTGAAGTGGAACCTGTAGTTTAAGTTTTTTGTTTTTTTGCAACAGTCTCTCACTATGTAATTGAGACTGACCTGGAACTCACTGTGTGTATCCCAGGCTGGTCTCAAACTCACAGTGAGCCTCCTACCTCAGCCTTCTTAGTGCTGGTATTACAGGTGTGTGCCACCACGCCCGGCCTATAGTTTTAGTTTTTGGAGGAATCACATCAGTTTCCACAGTGGCTATACCAGACTATACTCCCACCAGCAGTGGAGAAGGGTTCCTTTTTCCCACAGCCTCTCCAGCATTTGTTATTGGTTAATTTCTATCTTTTCTTCCTCCTCCTCTTCCCTTCCTTCTTTCCTGTGCTTGGGATCGAACTCAGGTCCTTACACTTGGGAGGCAGGCCCAGCACCACTGAGCTAAATCCCTGCCCACTTTTTTTAATTGGTTAATTTCTTGATAGCCATTCTTTCTGGAGTGAGATGGACTCTCAACAGCCGTTTGTTGTTGTTTTTGCTTTGGTACGGGGATTGAAAGGACCTTGCGAAAGGACCTTGTGCTTGGGAGGCAGGCGGCTCAGTTTTAATTTGCGTTTCTCGAATGTTGAACACTTTTTCACATGTTTATTTACAGTTTCTACTTCATCTGAGAAGTGTCTATTCATTTCAGATTGGGCTATTTATTTATTTATTTTTGAGACAGGCAGTTGAGACTGCTCTGGAACTATGTAGCCCAGGCTTGTCTCGAACTCACAGTGATCCTCCTACCTCAGCCTCCCGAGTGCTGGGATTACAGGCATGCACCACCAAGGCCACCTTGCCCACCACACCCGGCTATTTACTATTATTTTTGAGATAGAGTCTCCCTTAGGTAGTTCTGGTTGACCTTACACTCAGTGTGTAGCCCAGATTGGCCTGGAACTCATGGCAATCCTCTTGCCTTAGCCCTGAGTGAAGGCCCTGGGTTCAGTTCCCAATGCTGACAAAAAGGGTGAAGAAGTTCTTCCTGTTATACCTTTTTCTATATAGAGCTTAGGAAAGTGGGGTGATCTCTGTTGGCAAGGGAACCAAGTTGCCCCAGCAGTTAAGCATCAGAAAACAATTGTTTTTTTCTAAATTAAAATGTTAGTATTTTTCTTTTTTTTTTTTTTTCAGTTTTAATTGAGTTTATTGGTACATTTTAGGGATACAGTACAGTTACATTCATTGTTGGGATCTTGTCAGGTTTACTTTTCTTTCTTTCTTTCTTTCTTTCTTTCATTCATTCATTCATTCATTCATTCATTCATTCATTCATTCATTCATTCATTCTGAGACAGGTTTTGCTGTTTAGTTCAGGCTGGTCTTGAACTCACTGTGTAGCCCAGGCATGCCTTGAACTGGTTTCAGCCTCCCAAGTGCTGGGATTACAGGCATGTACTAGCACACCTGGCCAGTATTCAGGCTTAATTGCAGACTTGGCACTTTGTGATTAAAAAGTGGTTTGGGGTTGTAGTTTGGGCAACTCAGTCTTTAAAAGGTTTGCCATCACTGTCTTGTATGATCCTTTGGCTTTTCTGTTTTCTTTTTTCTTTTTTTGAGGAAGAGTGAATTTTGAGGGGGTGTGGGGTATCAGGAATTGAACTCAGAACCTTGTGCTTGCCAGGCAGTCATAGCACCACTGAGCTAAATCCCTGGCCCTGAGTCTGATTTTTTTTTAAGTGGGTAATCCAAATTGGGATATTCTAGAGATAGTATATATAGTACAACATAATATATATGTGTGTGTGTGTGTGTGTGTGTGTGTGTGTGTGTTAAAAATAAATTTTCTAATTATACACAAGCATTTCTATTGTGAAAATTTGGAAAAGCTGAAATGTATGTGATAAACATCAGCCACTCCTTTGCAGACTTTCTTGACATTTATTTTTCTTTTCACTGCATTTGTCTTTATTTGGTTGTTTGAGGCAGGGTCTTGCCATGTAGCCCAGGCTGGCCTTGAACTCTAGCCTCAGCTTCCCAAGTACTGCAGTTACAGGGATGTGCCATCATTCCTGGCTTCTCTGCCTATTTTTGCAAACTGAAATTCTGAAAAGAAGATCCCCCACCCCCTCTGGGATTTGAATCCAGGACTTTAGGCATGAACTACAGCCCTAGGCCTCCCTCCCACCTTATTTTTGAGACAAGGCCTTGCTAAATTAGAGTCCTGTTTTAGCTTTCTAGAGTGCTAGGATTACAGTAGTACACTGCCACACCTGGGTTAAGGTTAGTGTTTTGTTGTTTTTCCAGTGCTGGAGATTGAACACAGAGGCTTAACACTGAACTGTTTTAAATATTGTATACTGTTTATTAAACTTTTTTTTTCCCCCAAATTTTTAAGTCTTCTTTTAAGACTTTTAGAAGGGAAACTCCTGTTGCTTGTGGCTGCACCTTGTTTCTCATCTTTTTGTGCTTTAGGATTCTAAAAACTTAACCCTTTTTGTTTTTCAGTTTATAGTGCAGGCTGGCCTTGACTCATGGTGGTCCTCCTACCTCAGCTTCCCTAGTGCTGGGATTACAGGTGTGTGCTTCTATGCCTGTTTTTTTTTTTTTTTTTTTCATTGAATTTATTGGTACATTTTAGGTATACAGTACAGTTATATTCATTTATTGGGATCTTATACCTTTACATGACAGGTCTTGGTTTTCATTTTTCCCCTTGTCCCTGCCCTCCCTTCAGCCCCTCCTCCCCTCCCCATTTACAAACATTTTTTCATTTTCTCCTATTTTTTTCTTTCCCTTATTACCTTTCCCCTACCCTTCCCATTTTCCCGACACCTTTTGTCCTTTTCTTCCCATCACTATGCCCGATTTAAAACTAACATAACCAATTTTAAGCCTTGTGTAGTGAGGAGTATGGCTTTAGTCTAAGGCTTTTGATAATATTTTTTCACTGTAGGAAAGCCAAGGATAATATTCTTTTTATGTTTAATAATGCATAGGCTCATTTATATCTTAGTAGTCTTTTTATATTTAATCATGCATAAATTGGTTTTATCCAGGAGTTAAGTTGTACTAAATGTTGTCGTCCTGACCTGTCGTCATCCCATTTTGTGTGTGTGTGTGTATGTGCATGCATTCCACTTTGGACATCTAAAGTATAATAGTTTCCCCAGGGAAGTAGTGTAATTTTCAGTGTTGTTGGTGGTTTTTACATCTTTCCCTTAGGGGTATACCTTTGCTGCTTGCTTTTGCCCTTAGCATTTTCCAGGTGTAAACAAGAACAAAACTGTGGCTCTCTGGTTTGGTTTATATTGATTTCTTACAGGTGCAGCAGTGGCACAGATGAGGATGTTGTACTGCTATCCACTTTAGAGTTTGCCAGACCTTCAGAGGCCCAGTAAGGCATGTAGTGTGGCTGCTGGGGGAGCAGTACCATGTGGCAGCTTTTTGGGGTGCGTGTGTATGCTGGGACCAAACCCAGAGCCTTTTCTTGTGTCCTTTACCACTGAGTTGCACTCCCAACCCTGTTTTTTTGTGAGTGTCTTTGTGTGTGTGATAGCTTTTGTGCTGAGCTACACTTGCCCCCCCACACCCCTTGGTACCATGGATGGAACTCAGGACCTTGTTCTTGCAAGATAGGCGCAGTGCTGCTGAGCTAAATCCCCAGCCTAAGAGGGCAGTGTTTTCTATTAAGGCCTTCAACTGACAGGGTGGTAAGCCTTATGTACATTATGTAATATCATCTACTTCACTCAAAAATCTGACATACCTCTTTTACTTTATTTTATATTTTTGTGATAGTGGGGATTGAACCCAGGTCTTTTGCTTTATACTAAGCAAGTGCTCACTGAACTACATTTTCTAACAACCCATCCCCCCTTCTCTGAGGTAAAGTCTACTAATTTACCCAGGCTGGCTTTGACTGCTATCCTCCTGACTCAACCAACCAAAATGCTAGGCATGCACTACCATTCCCAGTTTGGTTGTATGTTTTGCAAATGTTTTCTCTGAGTCCTGTGTCTTTTGAAGTCAGTTTTCCCCCCTTTGGTGTATGGCTTCTTCACTTAGCATAGATCATTCACATTGTAGCATAAATCTATTGTTCTAAAATCATTTGTTGAAACATAATCCTTTTCCTGTTGAATTTGGAAGTTTTGTTGAAAACATGTTGACTAACTTGTTTGCCTTTCTGAGACTATTGTATTACTCAGATATGTGTATTTTTTGTATTACATTGATTATTGTATAAGTTCCTTGAAATTATGCAGTATCAGTCTTCCAACCCTTTTTTCAATGTTATTTTGGCTTTTAAAGACCTTTTTTGTCAGTTTCTACAAAAAAGACTGTTGTGATTTTGAGTACACTTACAGTAAATTTTTTTTTGTTTGTTTTTGTTTTTTGAGACAGAGTCTCACTGTGTAGTTGAGACTGACCTGGATCTCACTATGTAGCCCAGGCTGGTCTCCAACTCACAGTGATCCTCTTGCCTCAGCCTCTGGAGTGCTGGGATTTGGCATGTGCCGCCACGCCCGGCTTACAGTAATTATTATATAGATTAATTTGGGGGAGGATTAATGTCTTGAGTATTTCTGTGAAGATGGTATAGCGTCTCCATTTATATAGGTCCTTGTTAATTTTGGCAAAGTTTGTAATCTTCCGGGTTTGGGTAGATCTCATACTTGTTTTGTTAAATGTATTATGTTTTTAAAAGATACTGTTGTAAATAATATTTTCCAGGTACTCCATTTATATCTACAAATACATTTGAATGGTATTTTGACTTTGTATCCTTCAGCCTTGCTACATTTAATTAGATCTAGTCACTTTAAAATATTTGTATATATGAGTGTGTGTGTGTATATGTATATATGTGTATGCGTAAGCATTTCTACTACTATAAATAAGCTCCATCCCCAGCCTTGATCTGGTAGCTTTCTGATATTTTTCTTAGGGTTTTGTTTTTTTTGATACTGGTGATCAAACTCAGGACCTTGCTTGCTTGCAAGGCAGGTGCTGGAACCACTGAGCTAAATCCCTGACTAGGATTTTTTATGTATAAGGTTTTGGTCTGCAGATAAGCACAAGTTTAGTTCTGTGTATGCCTTTTCTTTCTTACATTGTCTATGACTTCAGCTACATATTGCATAATGAAAAATGATTTCATGTTTCTGAACCTGGATCATGATTGCTGTTCTTTGACTTTTTTTGTTTGTTTTTTGAATATTTTTTGAGACAGTCTACCTATTAGTTCTCATTGGCCTTAAACTCACTATGTTCTAGCCTCCTAAAGTGTGGATTACAGGCATAGGTCACCACACCCTGCTATTTTTTAACTTTTCACTCTTTATTCCCCCCAGGTACAGGGGAGCAAACTCAAGACCTCATTCTTGTGAGGCAGGCCCAGCTCCACTGAGCTAAATCTTGGCCCCCTTTAACTTTTAACTCTTGCTGAACTTTATCTGAACTGGCCCATCTGCCACCCTAGAGCTAAGCCATTCTGAAAGTTACCCTTGAAGCCCCCCCTCATTGAACCCAGGGTATTCACAGTGGGCTACACCCCAGTCCTTTTTTAATTCTGAGGCAGGATCTTACTAAATCACTGAATTGCCTTATCTTCCTCGAGTGCTGGGATTATAGATATGTCCCACCATGCCCAGCTTCTCTAACTCATTTTTACAGGCCTTCCAGTAATTTCGTAAGCACCCAGTTCCTTCTTAAGACACCTAAAATAGTAATGCTTTTCTTCTTGGAACCTTGATTGATACACTTTCACTTATTACATGGATCATGACAAGTGTCCTTTGGAGACTATTGGTCAAATAATAAATAACATTGGAATAAAGGAAACTGGCTAGTTTCCTTTCAGTGATTCCTTTTTTTTTTTTTTTTTTTTCCCAGGGATGGAATTTGGGACCTTGCGCTTGAGAGGCCGCAGGCAGAACCACTGAGCTAAATCCCCAGCCCTCAGTGATTCTTTAATGACCTCAATATTTTCATTTGGAGAGAGGGACAAATTCCTTTTCAACCTAATTCATCCCATCTACTTTTTTTTTTTGGTACCAGCAATCGAACTTGGGTCCTTGGGCTTTTGAGGCAGCCAGTGGAACCACTGAGCTAAGTCCCCAGCCCTAACGACCTCATTTTTAATGTGCTAGAAAACATTTTCTGTGTAGAAAGGAAAGACAGAATTATCCCTGAGATAATATGGTTATATTATCTATGAGTGGTTTAAATAGATAACAATGGCTCAGCCATTTAATTATGTTTCTTTTTTCAGTCCCTGGGTGTACATTTTCACAAGCAATTTAATTTGAAGTGTAATACTCCTCAAAGCAAGACATTCTGTGAATGCTTTATTATTTTGAAGCGTTTTTGGTAAAATAAAAAACCTTGACAAATGTTCTGTTACCTTAGTCATTTACTCATTTGTATATTATAAATAAATTTTGGATCCCCCCGCAAAAGAAGATTCAAACATTTCTAATAATTGCTGTTGATCAGAGGTAGTTTCATTCATTAGATAAATATTTGAATGTCTTTAATATTGGGCTTGAGAGATACAGGAGGAATTGCCTTTATTTTTTGGTGGGACTCAGGACCTTAGCTACATCCTCAGTCCATTTTATTTATCATTATTATTTTTTGAAAAATTTGAGATATGATCTTGCTGATTCACCAGTTGGCCATTGCATAGGCTAGCTTGAAGTTGGATCCTCCTGCTTAAGTCTTCCATGTGCCACCAAACCTGGTGAAAAGTTGCTTCTTGTAGGATATGTTTGTTTAGTATAGAATACAGTCAGACTCATTGCCATAAATTAGGGGTAGTGTTTACTAGGAGGAGTTGGGGAAAAACATCACTGTGATAGCTAAACTGGGACTAAAGGATAACTAGTAGGAGCCAGTCAGATGTTGAAAAGAGCTAGGATGCTTGGAGAAAACTGAAAGAGGTTCAGAATGGCTGTGATGGTACATGAGTCAGTGGAAGGGGCTTATGGTATTTTAAGTATCCATTGTTATAAAACCTCATTGAGGCCTTCAAGAAGGTATTAGCTCCACTTGAGATTTATTGTCAGTTGATCATTTAGATTATATGCAACTGCACTTATAGGTATTTTGTCACTTAGTGTAGTCTGAGAGTTACCACATTCAGCTGTGTCAAGAGAAACTTCTTTATTTTTTAAGACTGTGCAGTCTTGTTTCTTAGTCTTGAGATCCATGGAATTCTTGGATGAACATAATACTCTGGAATCCCATGAAATTGTAGACAACGTTTTCTGTGTGCATTTGGTGCATGGGAGGAGATCTTTACGTATCATTTAGGTTCTCATAGGAGTTTTAGAAACCACTTACCTGTTTGTGTCCTCTTACTTCTGTTCTCTGACAGTAGTTTATCATTGTTTTAGATTTGCTTAAACTCTGCTGCAAACTAGGCAAAGAGCTCTGAATTTGTACTGAATCGTGCTTTGGTGTTGTGTCACTGCTAACCCTATAGTTATGCTATAAGTAGCAGGTCTTTGAGCTCATTTTGGATATTGGAAAGCTGTTGTGTTATGGTGTTTTTTAAAAAAGGGATGCTTTGAGAGTAAAAGTCATTCTTGTAACATTACAAATAATTGTCTTCAGGCCAGACATGGTGTCACATGACTGTAATTGCAGCACTGAGGTTGAGGCAAGAGGGTTTCTGTGAGTTCAAGGCCAACTTGGGCTGTATAGTGAGTTCAAGGCCCACCAGAATTACATGATGAGACCCTGTCTCAAAACAAATCATTGTCTTTGGTCAGAAAAGAATGGTTTTTCAGTCCTGTATGGTGGTGCACACCTTGTGATCCAAGCACTTAGGAGACTGTACCTGAGAGTTGTTTGAGGCTAGCCTGGGGTTGTCCTCAAAACAAAAGAAAAAAGAAATGGGAAAGCGGATGCCTTTTACATTCTCAAAGCAGTTATATGGCTATGTGATCAGATTTTTATATCAGCTGCTGAAAATCTTGAATACATTAAATTGTTGTAAGAAACTAAGTATCAGCAAGTGTGGTGGTGCTCGCCTGTATTCCCAGCCCTTGGGGAGGCTGAGGCAGGAGGATGCTGTGAGTTCAGACCAGCCTGGGCTATATAGTGAGTTCCAGGACAGTCTCAACTACATAGTGAGAGACCCTGTCTCAAAAAAAAACAAAAAAGAAGAAGAAGAAAAAAAGAAACTGTGTCAACTGGGAATGGTGGTGCAAGCCTGTAATCCCAGCACTCACTAGGCTGAGGCAGATGGATCTTCGTGAGTTCAAGGCCAGTTTGAGCAACATAATGAGTTCAAGGCCAACCTGGACTACATAGCTAGACCCTGTCTCAAAAAAGAAAAAAATAAGAGAAATGTTATCTACTAGGTTAGAGCTGCAATTGTAGGC